GTGGGAGGCCAGGGCTCCCCAAACCTGACTGTTCTCAGCCACTGACGTGTCCAGGGTACTACATAAGGAGCCTCAGTGTCCTCACCTGCAAATAAAACCTTCGGAACGCAAGCTCCATGTGCAGCAGGCATCACAAGAAGTGTGTGTGTTTCTGTGTGAGTGCAGATGTGTGTGTGTGTGAGCAGATGTGTGTGTCTATGTGCAGATGTGTGTGCAGATATGTATGCAGGTATGTGCCTCTGTGTGTGTGTGTGTGTGTGTGTGTGTGTGTATGCAGATGTGTGTTACATGTGTATGCAGATGTGCGTATGCAGGTATGTACGTGTGTGTAGATGTGTGTGTGTGTTTGTTCAGATGTGTGTGCCTGTTACCCTCTCCTTTGCTCCTTTAAAAATCCACCTACATAGGCTGGGGAGATAGTGCAGTGGTTAAGAGCACTGCTGCTCTTGCAGAGGACCTGAGTTCAGCTCCCAACACTAAAGGGCAGCTCACAAGCATCCATAACTCCAGTTGCAGGGGATCCAAAGCTCTCTTCTGGTCTCTTTAGCACCAGGGCCGAATATAGTGCTGAAGAGATGTAGGCAAAACATACAAAATAAAAATAAATACATTTTATTTTTTATTCTTATTTTTTAAGATTTATTTACTTTGATGTTTACCGGTGTTCTGCCTGCATATGTCTCTGCACCAAGTGCATGTAGTGCCCTTGGAGGCCAGAAGAGGGCATCAGAACAAGCAGAGAGCCTAACTGGTAGCTAAACTGTGGCCTGGCCTGAACAGGTTTCAAAGAGCCCCTCAATTCCCTGCTGCTCACCATTCCCCCTAGGGCTTCTGCCTCAGCCATCACTGGACAGGGAAGAAGGGATAAGGCCTCCTGACATAGGCCAGGCTGATCACAGGGCCTATAAATAGGACCCTGTGGCTTGGCCTGAAATAGCTATGCCAGGCCGAGCTCCACAGGCATCAGAGCACAAACAGTCCTTCTCCCCCACACAGTTAGCCAAAACCTCTTCAGGAAGCCATGTTCATGGTCCTTGGAGACAGAGGATTTGAGCAAAGAACCCCACCCACCTCATATGGATACTGGCCCTAGACCTTGGCTCCTTTTTCTGCTTCTTACTTCCATTGCAGAAGCCTGGGACTCAGTTTCCCAAAGTGTGAACTACGGAGGTTGATGTGTGCCCTTGGGCCCTTCATCCAGGATGCTCTTGGTCTGTCTGTGACACCCCCACCTCTCAAATACCTATTTCATTGTGTCCTGTCCCACTCAACTTGGAAATTGTATTCTATCATTGTTTTTAACGTTATTTCAGTGCTGGGAACCAATCCCAGGCAAGCACTCTATTGTCTGAGCTACAGCCACAGCCCTGTGGCACATTTCAAATTAAATATTGTTGTTGTTATTGTTGTCTAGGATTTTTAAGGATCTTGCCACCCTGAGTGCTAAGTGCAAAGAATGAAGAGTCGAACAAGTCCTGACCAGCCCCCATGCCCAGTCTTGGGCCAGATACCAGTGCAAAAGGCATTTCCAGCCCCACCCCCCAAAATAATCCCAGTGGCCTCTGTGAGCGTTGCTGGGAACATCGTGTTTCTGGTTCAGACTGCAGACTTATAGACAAAGAGGATTCCCCACGGGCAGCTTGTGACCTGGGCAGGGCCTCAACCTTACAGGAAAGGCTCCCCAGCCGTGCCATGTACACGAATATGCTGCAGAACATCCTTCCCAGCTCACTCTCAATCACCATCCACACCCTACTTCATGGATACAGAAAACAAAGCTGAGAGGCGTGTTCCGGTCTGAGAGACACTAACTCAGACTCTTACTCCTAGAGTCCAGGGCTGCAGTGCTGACTCAAGTCAGCCTAGCTGGACAGTGGGATCAAAACCAGACAAGAACAAAGAACAGAGAGAGCCAGGTAGGATATTCCTGTGTGTGTGTGTGTGTGTGTGTGTGTCTGTCTGTCTGTCTGTCTGTTTGTGTGTATGTCTATGTGTTTTTGTCTGTGTGTCTGTGTCTGTGTGTATGTGTGTGGCTGTGTGTTTGTCTGTGTGTCTGTCTATGTGTGTGTGTATGTATGTATGTGTGTATGTTTGTGTGTGTGTGTGTCTGTCTGTCTGTCTGTCTGTGGGTGTCTGTATGTCTGTGTGTATGTGTGTGTCTGTTTGTGTGTATGTCTATGTGTTTATGTCTGTGTGTCTGTGGCTGTGTGTATGTGTGTGGCTGTGTGTGTGTCTGTCTGTGTGGGTGTGTGTGTATGTATGTGTGTATGTTTGTGTGTGTGTGTCTCTGTCTGTCTGTCTGTCTGTGGGTGTCTGTATGTCTGTGTGTATGTGTGTGTCTGTTTGTGTGTATGTCTATGTGTTTATGTCTGTGTGTCTGTGTCTGTGTGTATGTGTGTGGCTGTGTGTGTGTCTGTCTGTCTGTCTATGTGTGTGTGTATGTATGGATGTGTGCATGTTTGTGTGTGTGTGTGGCTGTT